GCAGAGACCGTAACATTGTCTACATATAGATTTTGTCGTATTTCATTTGCTAATGTACTATCAACGTTCTCCAAATGATAGTTGAGTGTTGCTGCCAATAAGAAAGGTGAGGATATTATGCCAAAGGGAACTCTCTTGAAGCGATAACACTTTAGGTTCTCGTGGTTTACTTCCTTATTGATATCTTTTACCCAGAGGAATCGCGTACAATTCCTTTCCTCTTCTTGTAATCCTATTTGTAGAAATGCCTTCTCTATATCGGCAGTTATTACAATCTTCATCGCTCGGAAACGTAATAACACTCCAACTAGATCCGGTAGGATTACTGGGCCTCGATACAGCACTTCATTGAGGCTCTTGAATCCTCGTTTGTGTGCTGAGGCGTCATATACGATTCTTAACTGGGTTGTAGTTTTGTTAGGAGTTGATACTTCATGGTGGGGTAGGTAATGTACTACGCCCCTTTCGTCTTCAGGAGGTACTTCTTCAATTACTCCCATTCAATAGTTGATCTTTCAGTGTAGTGTCGTATGTGAGAAGAAGCGATGAGGATCGTAGGTGTCTAACCAGATTCTTCAAACGTCTGTTACATAAGCCAGAGTTATCGCTCAACTTTGGCCAACATACCTGGTATCTCCCGTCTAGCTTAATAATTGTTTGTTTAAAGTGATTCATCGCTTGTTCGTCATCGTCATCTGTGGGGGACTCTTGTATGCCGATCATTTCCAATTTCCAGAAATTTTCTAAATCCAAATTTTAGACTTGTACATCCTGAGCACATTATGGGTGAGGGATGACTTTTGGAAATGCAGAGTTTATCAATATAACCACTTCCTACTACCATGGGACCCACTTTTGATTGTACCAAAGTATGCCCAGAGTATAATTTCCGTTTATCTTGTAGATCGATAAATTTGAAAAAATAATCGGCACCGATCAATATGTCAGGCTCCTTCCTATAACTTATTAAATCTTCAAATTCTTCGTTATTAGGTATGTCGACTACCCGTAGTTCCTGGGTTAAATATTCTATTACATGACTGTTGATCGTTATGCTTTCCTTGTCCAATGTTTGTATGTTCACTCGTGCGTCAGCAGTGGGACATTGTATTGGAGTCTTTGTACCGAATGGGGCTACCAATATAGTTCGGGGTTTCGACTCCGTGAGTTTTACTTTGAAATATAAGACATTTGTGAACCCATATCAAATAATGCTAAGGTTCTTTGTTGTCTTTGTGGATGTTCTGGATTCATGACCTTTATCTCTTTACATAAGAGTAGAGTCTCTTGTGGTGTATCAGTTTGAGTCATACCTGTTGAGTGGTATAGGAAGGTCGGACTTTCTGTACTTAATTGTGTTAGCTCATGCTTTCTCGGAAGGGTTGCAATGTTTGGGGGTGAGGTGCTTCTATTGTCGCATAGGGCAGTGTGATGTAAGCCCTTACAGTAGAAGCATTTTTTCTTAGCTTTGCATGACTCTGTTTTATCTTTGAAGCAAATTGCACATTTCTTCAATGATTTGAGGCGCTTCATTCGGCTCTTGACCGTGGAATAGACATCACACTCGCTATTCCAGTGATCTCGAGTGCAAAATATGCACGTTCTCCTTCTAGTTGTTGAGGTTTGCGGCTCCTTTTGGTTTGTTTGAAGTGTCGAAAGTGCGGAAGTTTTGTCGGGCTTGTAATTTTGTTTTTGTCCCCTTTTGATACTTGTGAGTTTGTTGTCAACTTGAGAGAGTGAACGTCGTCCAAGATTCACTTGTTGATTCACTTCTACTAAATCCGATAGGAAGTTTCTTAGTTTTTGAATTCTCCAAGGCTTGTCTAATTTCCGTTGAATGTATACCTTATTAAGGACCCAGGGTGGTAACTTACTTTCTATCATGGTTTCGGTACTTGGATGCTCTAGGTTGTCTCCTAAAGCCTCCAATTGTCGTAGCACCCGTTCGATATTCTCAATGGTGCTCATCCATCCATTCCTTCTCATTGTATTTGAGAGTTTGAAGTTCTTTGTTTAATCTCGACGATATTATGGAGGGGTCTCCATATTTGGTTTTGAGTAATCGTCTTATAATTGAATAATTTTCGGGCGCAATTTCATATCCTGACACTGCTTGTAACGCTTCTCCTCTGAGGCTCAAGTACAGATAGTTTAATTTCTGAATGTCAGGGATTGTTTGTGAATGGACAGCAGCATCGAAGCTGCTCCAAAATTGCCTCCATTGTCTGGGGTCTCCATTAAAGGTAGGTAGTGGTAATTGTGGAAGCTGGACGG